CTAAGAACCTTGAGAGGGAGCTTGAAGTCCTTCAGGCGTCTGAGGAGGTAGAGACGCTGTCAAGCCTTCACCAGGGTGTTGATGTGACAGGACCACGTCAGGTCCTGCGTGATGTTAACACCCAGGTATTTGAAGCTCTCCACTCTCTCCACCGCTGTCCTGCTGATCCTGAGTGGGTGGTATGCCCTCTGCTGCTTCTTGCTGTAGTCCACAATCAGCTCTTTGGTCTTGCTGACGTTCAGGAGGAGGCTGTTGTCTCTGCACCAGTCCTCCAGGTGGGTGATCTCCATCAAATAGTCCTTCTCGTTGTTGTTGTTAAAATAGGTTTTTATCATCGTAAGAACATAGCCAGAGTCCGCCCGCTTCTCTCTCAGGCCAGCACAGAGGTGCTAATGCATGCTTTTATTTCCTGCCGTTTAGGTTATGGTAATGCCCTGGTCTCTGGTTTTCCCAGAAAGAGCATTTTAAATCTCCTATTATTACAAAACCCAGTCGCTCGCGTGCTGACGAGGACCAGAGGGCGGCCCACATTACATCTGTTTTAAAGTCGCTGCATTGGCTCCCCGTCCGCTTCAGGATCAATTTTAAGGTTCTTTGACTAGTTTTTGAATGCCTTAACACCCAGTTATTTATCTGAACTGCTTTTATCATAATCGATCCTTGCGGATCCTGAGGTCCTCCGGCAGCAGCCACTGAGTGCTGGCCCCTTCAGTGGTCATGGTCTGCAACTCCTCCCGGTGTGGACGGCCCAAATGGTAGCGTTTCCCACAATCCCTCAGTGCATTGCCATGCTTCCTTTAGTCTCGTGGTGAGAGTGTGTGTGTATGTGTCTGTGTGTGTGTCTGTGCGTGTGTGTGTGTGTGTGTGTGTGTCTGTGCATGTGTGTGTGTGTGACTGCATGTGCCATATGTGTATGTGTATGCATGGAGGGTGGGATGGATGGGTTTTCTTTTTTTAATATTCTTAAATGCTGTAATGTTTTTAAATGATGTAATGTTTTTAAATGCTATGTTGTTTTTAAATGCTGTAAAGCACTTTGTGTTGCTGTAGTGCATGAAAAGTACTACATAAATAAAATTTGATTTGATTTGATCAGTGTTTCACGTGTCAAGAAGCAGAGGCATCTCAACTGCTGGGACTAGACTATATGAAGAAGGCCTTTGTGGTTAAATTGCTGCAAAAAAAAAACTGCTACAGTGGGAGATCAATAAGAAGAACAGAATTGCTCTGGGCAAGAGCAACATGAGGAATAGATGTAAATATGTGCTTTGGTCCAAATTTTATATTTTTTCTTGTGAGACATGGAAATCTGCATCTGTGGTTCCCTCCATAAGACCTGGAGGAGGAGGTGTGATTGTGTCCTTGTGTTTTTATGGTGACACTGTTGGTCATTTATTCCGAATTCAAGGCAACACTTCACCAGCATGGCTACCACAACATTCTGTAATGACGCACTATCCCATCTGGTTGGAGCTTAGCGGGACCATGATTTGTTTTTGAGCAGAAACACAACTCCGGGCTCTGTAATAGCTGTCTGACCAAGAAGCAGGGCAATGGCCTCCACAATCACTTTACCTAAACCTAACTGAAATGCTTTGGGGTGAGTTAGACCAGTCAGAAAAGCAATCAATAAGTGCTCAGACTGTTGACGAAACTCCAGGTGACAACCTCACGAAGCTGGCTGAGGGTGAATGAAGGGTGTCAACATCACATAATTATATGTTATATGTGTTATTTCATAGTTCTGATACTATCAGTATTGATGTACAACATAGAAAATAGTAAAATCTATGAGAAGTCCTTGAATCAGGATGTGGATCCAAACTGTTGTCTGGTACTGGTGAACAAACTCCTTGGTGTATTCCTTTCCTGCAGTTGCTCTTGTACACTTGCCAGAGTGAGAGAGCTCAGTCTGGCACTAACCTGAAAAGTGACCCAGTGGCTAAAACTGCAGTCGCTGGCAGAAAAGTATCCGTTCTATCTGTCTGCAGACAACGTTACAGACTCCCACTGCACTCAGGCAAATTGTGAAATTAAAAACACCCATGTACAAATCATACACGTGGAGCTGTGTTCTTAATTGGTTTTCTTGTCATATTCTAGACACCATCCTGCTGTCCCTCCTGGTTTGATACCATCCCAAAATCTGGCTGACATTCTTACGTCATCATAGGTGGCATGTTGCTCTTGTGAGAGTATTTTTAAACCTTCAAGTATAAGGATCCAAAAAGACTGCCTTGCTTAGTTTACACAAGACTCAAGACAAGCTCACTGTTTTGGACCGGTCTTTTATTTCCAGTGCTTTTATCCTGATAGGAGGGAGATACCACAGGTTTCCACGGGAAACAAGGTGGCGTCTATGTATAGACTTCAAAGTCTATACTCATTATTGAGAAAAATGTACTTTGAGCTTTAATAAGGGAAAATAAAAACCAATGTTTTCTTTTTCTATGCACTGATCAGCCACACCACTGAGAAGTGAAGTGAATAGCAATTATCATCTCCTTACAATGGCACCTATCAAAGGGTAGCACATATTAGACAGCAAGTGAACAGTAAGTTCTTGAAGTTGATGTGTTGGAAGCACGAAAAATGGGCAGTGTCAAGATCTGAGCAACTTAGAGAGGCGGCCAGTTGTGATGGTAAGACAGCTGGGTCAGAGCATCTCCACATTGTGTGATGTGTTCTCAGTGTGCAATATTTACTAACCGTGATCCAAGGAAGGACAACTAGTGAACCAGTGACAGGGGGCCCAAAGTTTATTCATGCGTAAGTCTAATTCCACAGATGACCTACTGTAGCACAAATTCCTGAAAACTTTCATGCTGGCTGTGGTAGGGAGGTGTCAAATCATCGCAGTTGTTAAGTGTGGTGTCCAAAGCACATGGTTATGTAAAGGCAGCAGAACTGGACCATGGAGCAATGCAAGAAAGTGACTCTGATCAAAGTATGTTTTCTTTAAAGTTGCGTGGATAGGTGTATGCATTGTTTAGCAGGGGATGAGATGTCAGTCGGAGTTACTATGTTAAGCCGGTGTGATGCTCTGGGCAACGTTCTGCTGGGAAACTTGGGTACATCCATCCACCCATTTTCTTCCACTTATCCAGGATCAGGTCTGAGAGGCAGCTGGTGAAGCAGGTTATTCTAGATCTCCCTCTACCCAGTAACACTTTCCAGTTCTTCCCAGGAGATTCCAAGGCGTTCCCAGTGCCATATAAGATATATAATCTCTCCATTGAGTCGACACCAGGGTCTCCTCCCAGTTGGACATACTTGGAAAACATCCAATGGAAGTCGCCCAGGAGGCATCCTCGTCAGATGCCAGAACCACCTCAGCTGGCAACTTGCAAAGGAGCAGCGACTCTACTCTGAACTCCCTCCTTAGCTCCTGACAATCATGTCGATGCTACTTTGACACATACCACCTACTTAAACTTTATACACAACACACACACACCCCTTCATAGCAACAGTGTCCCTGATGGCAGTGGCCTCTTTCAGCAGGATAATATGATACCTGTCACTTTGCAAACATTGCTTAGAAATGGTTTGAGGAGCTTAAAGAAGAGTTGAAGAGGTTGAATTGGTCTCCAAATTCCCGAGATCACTGCTGGGGCATGCTGCCAAAACAAGTCAAATAAACTTAAAGGATCAGCTGTTAGCCTCTTGATACTACAGGACACATTCAGAGGTTTTGTGGAGTTTATATCTCATGGGTCAGAGCTGTTATGCTGGCATAAGGGGGGGCTACACAACATAGGCAAGTGTTTTTTTTTTTTTTAATGTTGTGACTGATTGGTGTTGGTATAATTGGCATTTTTTACCTTTATTGGACAATGGCAGTGTAAGACACCGACAGGAAATGAAAGAGGCATGAAACAAAGGTGCCCTATTTATCCAGAGATGTTGTAATTGTATAATATCTGCCTTCGCCATTATGCTTCTTGGTATCCAAAACTAGAATGTATAAATAATCAGGAGCCATGATTAAAGCTATACCTAAACCTGACCCGGACAAAATGGGGGAAATGAGCTGCATCAGGACGACTGACAATTGATTTTATCATCATCAGCTAAGTCTGATCTCACTTTGCAATGACCTGCCAGCAGATATAAGATCAGCTCTCCATCACTCAAATCATGCACACATTGGTGCTGAAAAGCTTCTTGTTTCCACCACAGACAAATATTTCATACCTCATGGGTGGCAGTAGAAATGTGTAGCACATAGCTCAATCCCACAGCTGATAATATCATTATGTACAGACATTTTCAATGTTAAGTGAAAAAAAAGTAAATTTTTATTCATTTTATTTTCTTGGAATGATCCCATGAGGCCGTTTACATAATGATGTGTAGTATAATGTAAAGGTGCCTGAGAAAGAATTCAGACCCCTTAACACTTTCCAGACAGAATTGTTTGTAATTTAATTGACACTCAATAACCTATAATGACAACACAAAGACATGTTTTTTTGAAGTTTTTTCAAAATTCAAATACTGGAACCTCTCAGGGGAATGCAATGAAATGTGCAAATGATGATTACGAGAAGAGAGGAACTAGTAGTCTTACTAACTTTTCTGTTGCTGTGGCTAAAGCTGGTTTTATTAGTCTGATGGTGTGTATGATGATTATTTGAGAGGAGATGTATTCATTCATTTATTTATTTTATTTTTAATTTTGTAAAATGTTGAGTTGCTTATCTTTCTATTCCTTGAGCAATTATTTAACCAATGCAAGAAAAGACCGCATACAGACTTTGAAAATGTGTGCTTTTATTTATATTTAGATTATCTAGTAACTTCAACTGTCAGATACATGCAATACATACAATATTGACCCCTGAAATGTAGTGTAGTAGTGATGGAAAGTTTCAAAGGTGAGAATAGTCGATTCTATTTTATTTTATTTAACCTCCCACTCTGTCCTCCAGCAGGGGGCGGTAGGGCATCCGTGAGCCGGCTGGTCCGAGCCGTTACCGCCAGAAGAAGAACTCCTCCTCCTTCTTCTCCACCAGTGTAGGCAGGTATTTAGTAACGCTGGTGGAGGAACACCGGGACATCAGTATTGTTTACCCCTCCTTGCCGTTATAAACTGAGTAATACGGTGCAAGAAAAACATGTCGTCTTGGGCGAAATCACCCGCGGGTGGTCGGCGGAATTCAGGCAACCCGAATGGAAGGTAAGTCTCTTCGCTAACGTTAGCATTAGTAGCTAGCATGCTAGGTAGCAGCTGCAGCACATAACAAAACAGTGACTTCTAGCAGTAGGTAAGTCTCCTCCTCGCAGGGTAATTTAAATTAACCCTTGGTCTGGTTAATAACTACATTTTCCCCGTGTTTTGCAGTGCTCAACAGCTGCGTCTGTTTCGGAGAACAGCTCCTTACCCCACCAGAGAGGAGAGGGCCGAAGATCTGAAAGCTGCCCTGGACAGGTACTTGTGTCTCGGCCACAGCCACCGTTTCATCACATGACTCTGTATATCTATAGCTCTGCCTTCAGGGAGCGAGAACTCCAAAAAACAAACAAACAAAACAACAACAGTGAACCTACTGATAGATTATAATGCAGCTACAACTGGGCAGCTTTATTAGCAGTTATTGACTGTGCAGCTACCCTCTTCAAGCCCTTAATATACATGAATATCATTATTATCAACAGTGAAACAATGGAATGATGTGTGGGACTTGTTTGGAGTAGGTTTGTACATTTTGCATTAAAATATTTGCACTCAGGGCTACAAACTGAGTGGAAAAAGGAAGAAGAAAAATATTTCAGAACAATCAAATAACAGAGTAGTTACAGTCTACCACGTGGAGGTCTCAGTCTACTATATAATAATTGAATTTCATAGTGTTGTTTGTGTTATGTGTCACATTTAAATCCAACAGGTAATTTATGATCCCTCCACTACAATCAGAGCAATTCCATTCGTTGCTTACTGTCAGTTCAGTAGCCAACTATTCTGTTAGTTGTGCAGTTGCTTTCAGTAATAAAAAAAAGTCGAATTTCTCTGTTTCTGGCTTCTTGAGTTTGAATATTTTCAAGTTTCTTTGCTTTTCTGTGATAGTAAACTAGATGTATTTGGGTTGGGAACAAAGCAAAACCTATGGTGGCGTCCGTCATCTTGAGCTTTGGGAAACACTGATTGACATTTTTCTCAATTTTTAGGACAATTTAAAGACTAAACAATAAAATATTAATGGAGAATATTGACAAAAATAATAGTTGCAGCCCTACAAGAAATGTAAAATGCCACTTTTGGTTTGTGTAGACCAATTTATGCTGTGCTACAAAAGAAATGGGGCAAAATGTCTATTTGTTAGTCCAGTGTTGCGGCCAAACTAAAACGACACAAGTGTTAATAACTTGCCTTAGTTGGTATTTGTTTTAATGCGGGTCACAGTAAGTTGTTGCACCTGCTAGATTAGATCAAATGACACTTGCTTCTTGGTCATCCATGTCACACCCGAGTATATCAGAATTTCAGATCTGAATGTTGTAACGCTGCAGATGTTCTGTTATACCTGAAAAAACACATAAATGAAAACTTTGCAACAGTAAACCCTTTTTGGGTGTTAATACAGTAACCAGCGAGCACCGCCTATAGATGTTTATAACGTCATCTATCATATCAGGTCATCATATAGGATGACACAGAGAACAAAAGCCATGTATATGCTTCCCCCCACAGAAGTGTAACACCTATTTTCTCTGCTTTTCTTTCAGTTATGAAGAATTAGAACAAATGCAAAACTACACTGGAAATGTAAAGTTTGAGGGGCTCAAGAATCAGACAAATGGTGAGACTCCTTCTTTATGTTGTAAACTAGAACATTGAACTTCAGTTCTGGCAAAAAGTGTCCATGTGAACGTGCATACTTTGTGTTTGAGTCAGTAAACTGCTGATTTAACATTCACACAGCATCATTTTTTTTCAATTTAACATTCCCCTCTTACTTTTATCTCCTACTCTCTCTCCGTTTACCTCACTTCAATTCTCTTCCAACATCATCCTCAACCTCCCAGCCAAGCTCGAAGGCAACACTCCAGCAGACAGACGCAAAACCCTCTATCAGAAGTTCTACAGACAGGTGCAGGAGGACAGGAAGCCGGCCGACTGCGTTGTTCTCTCTGTAACCAACCAGTGCCTGTGAGTACAAAGATCCAAACCACAAGCAGCTGAGATGCAATATTGGGAGACTTTTGCACGCAGGATTTGATAGTTCCTATTTGGCTGTCGATCAGTGAGACAGATTAAAGATGTCGTTTAATTTTCCATTTATTGAGAGGGGTCAGCCAAGAACATTTGGCTCACACTCCCTTTCTGTTGAGACTTATCTGTAATGACTTACCCCTGGCTGATCATGATCCTCTGCCTTTATTGCATTTTATGATGGATAGAGCTTTCAAGCCCCAGCTAAATGCAAGAGCTTGATGTTTTTCATGGGTGATATCCAATATCATTTTCTGATCCACGTCTAGACAAAGCTTAGATAATATCACCACATTATGAGTTTGTGTTGATAAGATCATCTGTGACACAGTGTGGCCCTTCCTCTATTGTTTTTCAGAACAATGTGCAGCACAAAAAAAAAGTTGCTCCAATGTGGGGATTTTTTATTTAATTTTTTTAAAGCTGACAGTTATTTGTTCTCTCTACTCTGTCATAATTAAAACCAGGATCGGTGATGAAGTCAGTCCAGTGAGTCATAAATACAGAATACCTTTTTAGAAAGCGATGAGCGATTTTACACCTGTGCCTCATTTTCTTAATGTTCCCATTTTGATGATTGCATATTAAATGTATTCTTTTTTTTTTATCATCACCTGATCAGGGACTGCATAGTTACCGTGTTTCAGTTGACTGTGATGCATTTGATTATTCCTTACCTTTGCTCCCACACATCGTAGTTAGTCTGCAGTCCTCTGCTGCAGATTTCACTGTTTTGGATTTAAAATTTTACATACATCGAAATTCAGTTTCTTTCTCAGGCCGCTGAAAATCAGTGTGTTGTACCTTCAAAAGTCAGTTGGTTTTGGTCTTTTCGTGTAGAATATTGTTATTATTTCATACACTATACTGGAGTATAGATCCAGCACAATGAAAAACATAATTTTCCTTATAGATTGCACTGCAGTTTGGAAGTCTTATGTCCTTTTAAGTCTTTTTTTTTAACATGCCAGACATCTGGAATAAACTTAAGCTTGGTCACCTGCTATGTAGATGACAGGAATATTTTCAGTATTTTCTATTGTAAATGAGAGGTTTGTTAGATTGGACTGCTGAAGGTAACAAGTTGTGCGCATTTGAGCGCAGTGCTCCCATGAAAAAGTCGACTGTGAAGCGGTAAATCATCAGGTTTTCAAACAGTTGACAAGCTCAGTTTGCCTTATGTGCTGTGCTGAATGAGGATGCTGGTTCAATTTAGTTTGATTTATGATCACTGATGAGCAGGTTCCTGTTTCTCTCCATCTGAAAGCTGTGTGTCTGACTCATGTCGTTGTCCTTCAGCGTCATTAAAGCTAATCTGAGACAACATGCCTGCAAACATCTTGCTAAGTCGCTGGAGAATATTTTACTAAAGTAGAAAGGTGACTAAAATGGCAGATTTGTCTTTTTTCCAGTTTGTTTCATGTGAATTTTTCTTACAGCGCCAGATTTGTCTGAAAAAACATGCGTATCTGCTCGTCATGCTAGCTCTTAAAGAAACCAGAAACAACGGACTTTACAACTATCAATCATCAAGGTTATATGTACATTTTTGCACATGAAAAACACATAATCCAAGCCCCTTTTTAAATGCAGTTTAAAGTAAAATTTTATTTTTCTCCTCACACCTAAAAACACACACACACCTTTTCACCAAAGAATTAATATTACGTCTTATTTAAACTTCTTTTCACACTTTTCACATATCTAATAAAGAATCAAGTACCGGATCATACATTCTCTCCATATAACTTTCTTTTGTATATTTTATAACCTGCCTTTGATACATACATGCTACCCACATACTTTTTTGTGATGAATTAAAAGCATGAAAACCTCCATGCGCTGCACAACGCAACATCAAAAATCCTCCATGCACAACATGTTTCTGCACAAATAGCAACAAGTATGGCTGCTTTGTCTGCATTCATGTGACAGTTACAGCATCAAGGCAAACAGACTAAGTTGGAGGTACTGATGGTATTGACACTGCAGCACTGCTGATTATATAAGTGTGCAACAGGACAGTTATCAGCACACAACCTTCATATCTAAACAACAAACTGTTCACCATGGTGGTGCTTGGTAGCCACCCATTGTCGAGAAATTGTGCCAATCTTTTGGTTTTGGTTTAAAAAATCCAGATTAAAGTAGGACAGATGTTTATATTGTAGTTTTATTCTGGTAATGTTACTACTTTTGCATATCACGTATTCATTTAAAGCTTATTAGTGAATGGCTAATATTAATGTACATTTGTCCATGACTCCGAACACCACCATTAAACACAGGGGTCTCAAAAACACAAACTGCTGTAACCAATCACTCAGTGTACATTTATTTTAGGACATTCACCATTAGGGTTCTTCTTCAAATTAAAACAATTATACAAAAGCATGTCAACAAAGTTTTGTGTTGAAGTGTATTGGTCTGAATTTTGACACCAAGATTGTCAGTTTTACTGCAAATGTGCATCAATTCTGAATGTCAGTTATCAGTCTCTTTGATTACTAGTAATCTGTATTAGTATCAACCCTGAAAACATATGAAGATCGACCCTTGGCCACAATTCTTCACATGCAAATTCAGACTAATTCACTCAAGCTCTCCACATGAACAAGCCCCTCATTTTTACCTGATGCATTACCTAAACACATCCTACAACATTAAACACATCTACAGTAGATCTCTAAACTTGTGTCCGTGCCACCAAAAACTTCAGGAAAGATGACTTGCAATGTTTTTGTTCGTAAAGCACATTTAAAATAAGAAATAACCCTCTGCTCCCCTCAGAGATGGAGCTCAGGCTTTCTCTGTTTGCCAGTTGAGTCACTTAATATAGAAATGTCAAGTTAACAAAGTGTTTCTCTTCCTCTCAAAGGGATTACCCCAAATCGCTAAGCCAGTGCTTGCAGGAGCGCGGCCTGTCAGTGGAAATGCTCTACCTTCAAGCGGAATCGGGCCTGACCCGGGCCCTGCAGGATGTCCGAGCAGATGGCTCCCCGTTATGTATTCTGGTGGAGCAGACAAACGTAGCTCTGTCCTCCTGCACGGTTATCATATTCTCAGAATCCCTCAAAAGTAAGTCCGTACCCCTCGTGTTCCTTCAAGCTTGCCCAGAGCACCTCAGTTTACAGCCCTCCATCCCTTTTCTAGGCTCAGCTCAACTGGTTGACGCGGTTTATGTAGATTCTGCAACATCTTGAACTCACAATCTGTGTAACACCAAATACAAACAAGAACTACTCCCTTTGAAACGCCAACATGAAAGTTATATAAAGCTACAAGTTTCCATTCAACTGTTGAGGCTAAAACATGAACATAAATGATTTCAAAATCCCCCAAAGTCCATCACATCTACACAATATGCCATGCTCACATTATTAGCAGTCTCTTGGTAAACTGTCCATTGGCTGCCACCTGGAGACACTTTGCATAACATTACATAATATTACAAACTGAACAAAATTCCAAAAAAGCAAAAGAAAACTATTATTTATTACAACTTGTGTTCCATTTTTGGGTCATCAGTTTTATTAGTTTACATTGTAGCTAATGTAATGAAATCTGAGAAGAAAGAGGCAAATGGTTTAAAAAAAGTAACAAACCCTGGTTAGTTAATCCTATTTGGACGACCGAATACATGCTGCAGTATAATCATGACCCAGAATATCTGTTGTAAAGGGTTTAAACCTTGACCTTCATCCTTTGTAGTGCTGCCATGCAGCTCTTTTGTGCTAATCTGGGAAACAACCATTTGTATGATTATGTGACTGGCCCTGGTTTGTGCCTGTTTTTAGTGATGTCATTGCATTCCCAGAGTATGTTTTGGCATCTGCTGGCCTTTAAGTGCTTCTGGTCTTCTAAACACAGCGGTTGCTGATTATTAGTTTGTTTACGAAGGCAGACCAGTGGGCTTATCATCATGAAGGAGCCATGCGTGGCTGCAGACCGACCGGAGTGTGTCAGGTTTCACGAGGCATGTGCTGGTTCTGCATGCCACACAGCAGTTGCATAACTAAAGATTTGCAGGCGCTTGTGTGCAGCGCTGATGCAAGAAGCATGTCGCTGACTTTACAAACAGAACAGATGGCCCAAGCTGCTAAAATACAACTCAAGTTGTAATATAGATTAGTTTTCCTCTCAGTTAATTCTACTAAGAACGACATTTTACGCAACTGACGTTGTGAAATAGCATCTGTACATTACATACATTGTTTTATTGCACAAACAAATCTGCATAATACAAATTCTTAATATGCATGATATAAAATGAGAATATCAAAACTGTGCAAATTTATGTAGTTGCTCCATGATGATGCAACATGTAGCTCACAACAAAAGTGCCCAAGAAACATTTAAACGAAACCTAATAATATATGTCCATAAAAACCGATATAATAATGAGGTTCTTTATTGCACCAGAAAATGTAAATGCACAAGTCATTTCATTCGTTATACTTTAACGTCATATTTCTGAATTCACATTTTTGAGAGAAATTAGTGCTTCCTCGTCATTTATTTTCTGTCCAGGTACATGCTCAATGCAGTGCAACAAAAATTACAGATGAATGCACTCATTACAAAAATTGCATGTCCCTCATCACCACCTCTCCTCCAACAAACCAGCACTCACATTAAAAAGTATTACCTGCCAAAGTTTTTAAAAAATCCGCTGAATTTGCTGACCCATCAAATATAAACAAAATCCATCTTAAGACGACCTGAGAGAACTGTAAGAACCCCACAGATTTCACTGTTGTTTCCTTGGATTACAGTTACTTCACCTCTGTCTCCCCCCCTTGAGCTTCCTGACACCTCACCGTTAACATTCCCATTCCCTCCTCAGTCCATCGCAACATGCCCAAAGACCAGGCCATGGACTTTGTTCAGGCAGAATACAAGCGTGGACTCTCCAAAGAACGCCCGCAGAGGGACCCTGCAGATACAGCAGCGCAGGCGTCACAGCTGCTGGATGACTTTCTGGATCGGGAAAAGATTGCGCGCCACACCGTTCCCTCCGAAACACGACAGCTCCTCATGCTGTTAGCCGACGGGGTGCACCTGTACCCCGAGGAGCTGGAGACCATCTCAGACTACGTTCATGCCCGCCAGGACCACATACAAGGTGAAACACTGATTTCGCAGCAGGACCTGCAGGAGCTGCGCCCAGTGCTGCGTCTGCATTACTGATTGCAGCTTAACTTCTTATGATCTCAGCTGCTGTTCTGTCTTTTCTGTCTGGTTCATTTTTTTCTTCCTCTGTCTCTCTTCAGCCTCCAACACTGAGGGCGAGCGAGGGAACATGTTACCTCCAGGTTTGGGAAAACCACCTCCACTGCTCCCTACTCCACCTGGACCTCCTCCACCTCAGTCTGGATCTGGCGGGCCCATGGTGGACCTCCCCCCGCCTCCACCTGTACCCCTCTTACCTTCACCAGGTTAGGACCACTGCCTGGACTATGTACCTACATATCTGAAAGCTTGACGGATATACAAGCCTAACATCCTCATTTTCTTTGATTTGATTAAACAGTACAATATAAAATACATTTTCCTGCGAGGGAGCCACATGAGTTTTGCTTTTATTATCTAAGACAAATGGCACATTTGTTTTACGAGGCAGGTGTGTACACTTTAAAAAGTAATTCAAGGGACCTATTCCCACCACTTACTGTTGCAAGATAAAAACAAATCTAATTTACTGATTTAGATAAATTATTTAGGTTGCAAACGTTATTTGATGAGTTGGGTGGACATAATTATGTTAGTCATTGCATCAACTAAATTTTTTGGCCAATTTAAACTCAGATTTCTGCATTAGTTGATTGGAAACTAAAATTCAAGTTGAGGTAACTTAATGGAATTGGCTTTATAATGTAATTTGTATATATTTTTTTAAATTCATGATGTCAAGTCAATTGCAGATGTTTAACACCGATAATTAAAAATTGCTTTAATTGTAGAGGAAAAGCTAATTTTCACTGAATCTACAAAGTTTGTTGGTTGAACCTGATTTTCATAACTCGAAAAGATTGATGCAATCTGTTAATTTGTTTTATTAAGCCTGAAAGATATATAAATTTATATAAAACTTTTGGATAAGCCGATGTTTCCTGTAAGATATTTGTCTCACGCGACACTCTTCAGCTACCTTTAAGGAAGAAAGCCCTCCAGTCTGAGACAGGAGGGTGTCGCTTTTGGAACTAAATGCTCTTGTTTTGAATGTGTGAAGCATAAATGCAGTTCTTTTTTCCCCCCAACTTTTAGTGTTCCCTATTTGCCACATCTACTTTAGTGTCTTTATGATGTGTATAAACATCTCGCATGCGTACATACACATCCTCTAATCTGCAGTGGGTACAACTAGAAGTGGTTCTTCTCATTTCATCCTCATGATGTTCCATAATGGCACCTTTCTTTTTAGGCTCTTATCCTAAAACCAAACCTCCTCCGCTGCTGTCTTTACATCGGCTTCCTGGTCCATCATTAGGGGCTCCACTCCTTCGTGGTCCGATGTCCTCGCACATCCCGTTCGGTGGTCCCGGCATGTCTCGCGGGCCTCTACTCCACCACCCTCCACCTCCGTTCCACCCAGGCGCCAGAGGTCCTCACGGGCCCAGAGCGGCTCCCCCATCTCTGAAGAGCTCTCGTCCTCCGCTTCTGTCCTCCCCAGGTAGATCAGCAACGATTTTATTTTTAGCCGACATCTGTTTGAATTTCTGTTATGTGGGTCCCAGTGTTACTCCTTTAACCTGTTAATGTTGTGGCTGATCAGTTTATATAATGTATTTATAATTTAACTTTTGTTTCTTTCTCGTCTTTCCATCTTCTCAGGTGGCCTTCTCCCACGACCGATCGGCCCCCATCATTAAGAAACCACAGAGACTCTCTCACACTGTAAAAACACGCAGGTTACAAGCTGTGTTTTGAACATTTCAGCTAACTTTAGCCGAAGACTCCTGACCTTTTGCCCAGGGTTCGTCTGCTGACATTTTTTAATAATAAAACTAGTAAACCACCTTTAGTTGGAAGATAAAAAATGGTAGTTGCTGTTAGATATTATTGTGGATGGACTGATGGAAGATGGTATGTGATATTCTGATTGACAATTTTTAAGTATGTTTTTCAAGATCCCTCCAGCATCATTGCCCCCTCCCCTTTTTTTTTTTCGTTGTAATGTTTTGTAAATCCAGTTCTCCTCTTCAAACTGTAATGTTGGTACAGTGACGAGCTGCACAGGAGAGACATCGATCAGTTGGCTTGTTTAGCCGAATGCACAGAGACACCCAACACAACAGATGGCAGCTGGTTTACATTTAAAGCAGCAAGAAGTCAAGAGGTATCGGTGGAAACGCAACAGGACTAGTGATGTTCCTAGCAGCTCATTTCTCTGTCGAAATTTAAATTTCGACTAGCCGACTCGTCTAAAAGTAAGAAAACTGCGGCTATGCTCCAGTCTGGCTTTGTTTATCTGTTCACCATTAATTTTCAGAAGCCTTTAACAAAGTTGAATGGAAGCACATCTCGCACAGTCACTGCTGATGACAGACAGAGTTTATCTTTTCCGACTGAGCAGATCGCAACGTCTGTGGGTAAGTTTCCAAACGTTAGCAGTGCAAACACTAGCAGCCTTTTTTCCCCTCGCAGGTTAAACGCTAACATGCCTGTGCTGAATGTGGTTACGCTTTGCTACAGTCGAGCGCTTGCACACCAGTATTTTCTTGCACTACGTTTCATTTTCTAGATCAAAATACTTCCAAGTGGCGCTGATCTGTCCTATTTTCCACCTTGTTAACATCTGCTTGAAGACGAGGGGGGGGCTGCTGTCTGTTGGGGCTGCAAAGATCTAAGACGCACCAGTTCATCAGCATTGTGTAATAATGAGGTTAACCGACCAGTATTTCTGGTGCTGCCTAGTGAAGATAGCAACTGTTTAGTCGACTAATGGCACACATCCCTTAGTAGGACCTTCTATTCTCCTGTGTGTAATCGCAGGTCGTTTTCCTGCTGTTTGTTGGTTTGTTTTTTTTTCAAGATGGTGCTTCTAATTTCACAAGATTCTCTGCTGAGGAGAATTTCAACAACCAACTAATAGCTTGTTTTTCCAAGCTGCATTCTCAAATTTCACGTTATTTATATTTAGATGTATTTTTTTTGCCACAAGTAATCAGTCTGAAGATCTTTGTGTGACGGCTCTCGATCTACAGTTGCATGTACGACTTTTCAGCTTTTACAGAAAATCATCTTCTTTACATTAACATATTTTCACAAGTATTTCTTTAAATTGATTTTTGGTCGAGTGAGAATCATGACGAGGTAATTGCCATGTATATTATGTTTTCAGCAAATGTAACCCACCCTCCCTCTACCAACATCCTGACCTGAGATTTTTTCTTTTTTTTTTTAAATGACTGTTTTCATAAAAGCACAAGAGGAAGCTTAAGATGCTTCCAAGAATAACTTAAAGGAATCATAAATCAAGTGAACGCATATTGGATTTTCTTATCAGCAGGACGTCTTAACACAGAACATGTAAGAAATCTCCATCGCAAAATGTCTGGCTGAGCACGCTGTGTTGTCATTAAACTCGCTGTTCAAATTGAATTTTCATTTTAAATATGTCTGATGCAGTCAGCGTGGAGGAAGTGCAGAAAAAAAAAAACTAAATGTTTGACATGTAATGGAGCAACTGCATTCATTGTTGTTATTCAGGGAAAATGTATAGGTTTATTCCAGAGCAAACAGTTTTGTATTATAATTTACTTTTTTTCCCCCCATAATTGTTTTTGACCTGTGAAACAAAAAAACCTTTCATAACACTTAAATGTCGTATTCTGTTTTAATACTTCAGATAAAGCAGAAATCCAGTTGTGAAGTCACCTCTCTGTTACAGGAAATCAACAGAGCTTCTGATTGCTAAAAAGGGATTTGAAGATGTTTCCTGCAGCACTTGTCTGGTTTAGGAAGACATCTGCTTGTGCGACGCATCGGACTACGCAGCAAACTTCAAACTTTGAACCTGCCCTTCATTTTTCCCCCCCGTTTTGTAGATAATGTTTAAGTCCTGTACTCTTTATTGTTTTTTTTTTTTTGTTGAATATATTGTAAATATTCGACCACTCGATGATCTGGATTAGTTTTCTTTGGCGTGCAGCAGTGTTGATGTTCAACAGGTATGAAGGGGGGAATCTTGATTATATTTTCAAAGAAAACGTCTATAAATGTTTTAATATTTTGATGGATTCGATGAGCCTTTTTGATGTTTTTTCTTTTGTTCAAAAGAGAATTAAACATTAAGAAATTAAAGATGCATTGGTAAGTGTACACTTCCTTTTTCCACATGAACTGATGTCAGATCGCACTGAATCATTGTGGAGCTGATGATTTCTTCACAAAAGATAGTTACGATAACGTCTCTTCAGCGTTATCTAACTGAGGCAGAAATATGGAAGCAAACTTGTTGCATATTCCACTGTCAAATCCATACTTAGTAGAAACGCCTCTGGCAGCAGGTTAATCATTGAGTTTGAGAAAAGAGGTTTGCATCAGGTGCAGCGAAGCCCGAATGTCAAATTCTGGTTTCTAGTGAATTTTTATTTGACCGTAGGGTTTTTTTTTGGTTAGAAAGGACTTAAAGAAGCAAGAAAATATGGTAAGACATTGTGTTAGAGGTTAGTGAGACGATAAATATGAACTATTTGTACATTAGTTTACATGTTTTAAGACGTACAGAGGTAAAGTTGTTGCTCATGTTTGAGAAAATGTGTATTACTGTACTGTAGAGCATTTTTATTAACTGTAAAGTGAGAACAGCTGATGCAGTGGTTTTCTAGTCAATTGCAAGTCATGACTAAAACCACAGATCTTAGCAAACTTGCTATTCGGGTCCTTTACTGAGAGTTAGTTGCTCCTCACAACATGGAAAAAAGGCTATTAAACCAAATCTAAGTGTTTAAGTGCCGGTGGCCACAGTGCAAGGCCCAACTTCCACACTATAAAACATCTCAAGGGAGTGGTAGGAGGCCAAAAGTGACCCCTGCACAAGCAAGAATGGTAACAAGAAGAATCCAAGGATCACCACCAAGGCCATCCTGGTGAATCTGAGCAGTTCTAGTAGCAACACCTCAAAGCAGACACTAAACAAGGCTGGTGTCCATGGATGGATCCACTCCAAGACTTCACAGAAGCTCACATTGATGACAAAATCACCAACCTCATGATCAAGCATGGTTCTGGGATTATAATGCTTTGGGGGTATTTTTCAACCAATGGGGTCAGACCACAAACAGCATCACAAGAAAAGAAGACGACATAAAGATTGTGGATTCTGCAGGAAAACTCAGCCGTGTGGAGCATCAGACCTTCCAACAGGATGATGATCCAACACAGACAGTTTCAAGTTCGTATGTTGTGGAGCGGCCCAGCGACAGTCCAGCCCTGAATCCATTAAAGAATCTGTGGAGGGAACCGAAGCCTTCACACACCACGGCGCAGTTACACCATTTAAACTCTAGATGGCGACACACACCTGTTTTGTTGTTTAAATCGTTCAACATGAGGACAGAATTTCAGTTGTCCACACATGGAAATAAGAAAGTTTGTATCTCCACCTCCTCTGCTTATCGTCTTATTTAGGTCAGTCTTTGAGCGTTTATTTGCAGCTTCTGAGATTTGACTGGATTATCCACAGTCAAAAAAAAAAAGTAATAAAAATGGACTCAAATAGCACTAAAATATATTTAGAACAGCGATAACGTTTCCGTAATACTTACACCACAGGAAGGTTATGTCTCAGTTTACAAGTAGGGATTTATTTATCTATTTAAATCTAACTTTTTAAAAGTAAAGGCTATATGATAAATATATTTCCTCTATTATTACTATTTTTTTTGCATTAATCAGTGGATGTCATACTAGTGTTCTAAGTCCATTCTACATGTATGTGTTTTTCCTCATTTCTCATGTTGTGAGGCTACAAATCTGTTCATGAAGCCACATTTTGGGGTTGTGGCTTCTACTTGAGGACTTGGTTTCATGTTAGGTTTAGGAAAAAAACTTCATCAAATGCTACCGTTTGTGATCAATATTTTTCATCATCAGCGTGATGTTTACATTCATAAACAATCTGGAATCAAATAAAGAAAATACTTTAAAATAAAAAGTTTACTTTGACAAGTCTTTAACTTTCAAAGCTTAAATTAGCAACATATTACATTTTGTCCAGCGTTGGCTAAACCTTTGTATCTCACCAGTTCAGTTTTTTTCCCCATTTAGACAACAGTGACCATGTTCACCTCTTGGCGTCTGGTTTGACAGTTATCTAAGTTATGAGCAGCACATCGCAAATCTTGTGCAATCATGTTTTTATCAGCTTAGAAATAGTTTTAAAATACAGTCCATCTTAACAGGGCTGCAGGGTGGCACAGTTGGTAGCCTCGCAGCAAGAAGGTCGCCGGTTTGCGTCCCAGTGGGGGCACCAGGATCTTTCTGCGTGGAGTTTGCATGTTCTCCCCATGCAGCGTGGGTTCTCTCCAGGTTCTCCGGCTTCCTCCCACAAAGTCCATAAACATGTTGAGGTTAATTGGTGATTCTAAATTGTCTGTAGGTGTGAATGTGAGTGTGCTTGGTTGTCTGTCTCTAAGTGTAGCCCTGTGATAGACTGGTGACCTGTCCAGGGTGTCTCCTGCCTTCACCCTGAGTCAGCTGGGATAGACTCCAGCCCCCCATGACCCTAGTGAGGATTAAGTGGTGTATAGATAATGGATAAGAATCTATCTTAACTTTTTAAAGACACAGAAACCATTTAACACGCTTTTAACCCATTACACCTGGATTTTTTTTAACCTACCTGAATCAAAAATCTATCAATCAACTCCAGACTTTACAAAATCCAGCTTTAAATCACACATCACTTCTGTTTCAGTCTCTTTATACCAGCCAGCGAAATGTTTTAGATTTAGTTAAAATATTAAGGCCCTCCATCGCATCTCTTTCCAGCTTCACCTCTGACCTCGTAGTATTATAGACACCAGTATAAACTATGTGTGGGCACTGTGCAATACACAACATTGTTCTTTTATACTGTTCATGTGTATTCATAATTATATTCATTGCTGTAGTTATTTTTAGCCATTTACTTTTTAATCTCAGCACTTTGTTGTTTTATAAGAGGGTATGTAGTCTTATTTATACTACAATAAGCCAATGCAACATCATTCCGTTTTAACCATTGTGTATAGCTTGAATGATAATTAAGTTGATCTAACTCTAAGTTTATGGCCTGTGAGATCTCTGGGCAGAAGTCTTTGTTGGTTACCGGGTCCCGGCTGAAAACTACAGTGATTTGCCCGAGGAAATCAGGTCGGTTCAGTAAGTGCCTTTCCTCTGCCTTTTCCTTTCATCTAACTCATCTTTTATTATTTCTATTAATAATATCTTCACCTTTTCCGACACAAAATTGTGTTTTTACATGTCTTTTAAAATCTGATGATCCTCTGACTTGTCTGTTTTATTTTGCTGTGTAGCACTTTGTAACTTGGGTTTTGAACATTGCTCGATAAATTAATATTATTATTATTATGTGCTACTCGAAATTTCAACTTGTCCAGGGTTTTATTGACAGAATCAGGTTGTAAAGAGTTTTTAAAAATCTTTTATTTTAAATGATTTGCAGACTACTATTTTTATCATTGCAGGTGTGTTTTTTTCCCATCATGCATTTCAAAATGTCCCTATTATCTGTGTGAAAGCAGTCAGTAAGTTCTCCTTCGAAACCTGCTGTATAAGTAAAGTGCATTATCGTTGTTATTATCAGTGATATTATACGTTAAAGTGGGAGACTGGTACAAAAGCACAGAGGGTGAATGTGGCTGAATGCGTCTGGTTTTCTCCTCATGGTGCCTCCTCCTCCACTCCTCCAGCTGTGGAAACGCTGCTGCGAGGAGCCCATCAACTCAGGAAGTAATGGACAACTGTCTTCACCTCATTACACCAGCCTACACACACGCTCTGATTGGACACTGTGTGTTTGTGTGTGTGTGTGTGTGTGTTTGGAAGCAGCATACGGTTGGTGTTCGAGGATCTTAAATTCATAATTTCAGAGTCTTACTGAAGTATTTTTCTTGCTTTTACAGAAATGTCTTCGCGAGAAAATTTCTATTTCATTTGCCAGGCGCTGTTTGTCCTCTCTGCTGCTTTCTGCTTAACTCACAGTCATAGAAAACTTGGGATACTTTATATTATTTATCGCAGTGAACATCATTTGAGCTTTGATTTGTGAAGTTTGTAGTTCAGTGCAGAATTTTCAAAATACAAGCATCAACATACAATAACTTTGACAGAACCTCAATCCCTCGCTGCACCTTGCTGTGTGTTCAGATGAACCAGAGGTGATCAAAGTAGTCTGACCTTTAACTACAGTGTGGAAATATTCCGCTACAAGTAAATCCATGCATTGGCAATGCTAAAAAAGTAATAAATAAAAGCATGAAATTAAAAGCGCTAACTTTGCAGAATAAGTCATTTTAAAGTCAGAAGTATGTATACTATATGAATTGATTATAATTAATAAATGAGCTGATAAAACAGGACATAATTATAAATTCTGTAACACTGCTGGGTAACTTTTTATAGTCTGATCTTGATCTATAGTTATACATGATAATTTATTTATTTATTTTTATATCAATTTACTTATGTTGATTAAGGAAAACACAGAAATCAGGCAAAGTGAGTTTTTTCTCAATTAAAACGACTTTGAAAAATAAATGTGCCATTAAATTGTAATACAATACAATAAGGAACTACAGGAACTGAGAAAAGAAATATATTTCAAATGATTTATTTCAGATTTTTGTGGGATTTTAAATGAACTGAAAATTAAAAACATGCACTAGAAACAACAGGGATGCTTGAAATTGTAGTTGGAAATGATCAAGTATTTGAGTAAATGTATTTAGTTACTTTCCAAAAATGATCCAGAGGTAACATTGAATATTAATATAGACCAAAATATACATATATGTAGTTGAACGCATGTGTGAGTAAGTATTAAATGACTTTTGCTACTGTAATGCAAGGTGACGCAGTGGTTAGCACTGTTGCCTCACAGCAAGAAGGTCACTGGTTCGCGTCCCAGTGGGAACACTGGGATCTTTCTGCGTGGAGTTTGCATGTTCTCCCCGTGCAGTGTGGATTCTCTCTGGGTTCTCCGGCTTCCTCCCACACAGTCCAAAAACATGTTGAGGTTAATTGGTGATTCTAAATTGTCCGTAGGTGTGAATGTGAGTGTGCTTGGTTGTCTGTCTCTA